CAGCACAGCGGTTAAGTGGATAGTACTAGGGTCGTCAGTTTGAATCCCAACCATGGCAAGGATGTTGCATGTTTCCCCTGGGTGTCTGTCCTCACAAAGACATGCTTGCAGCATCTTTTGGCTTCTGTCTAATAATTAATAAAAATAATATGGATAATTCCATAGTATCTGAATTATAATTTGGGAGTTTAGCTGTTCAATCTCCTTCAAGGCAGGGCCTGATCTCAATGTCTAATATCTATGTAAAACATTGGTGCAAGATAAGTGCCTGAAAAAATGTTTAATTTTACATTGCTTGTTTTAAAACTGACCCTTTTTTAAAGGGTTTGTCAATCAAAGAGCTGAGATTACAAATAAAAATACAGTAACAGAGTGTGTGTGTTCTGCTTTGCGTTATTGAACTGTTGTATAACACTAGTCAAACAGTCTAACAATAATTCAGAAGTCAAGAAACGTGAGACATCAGATCTGTATGTATTCTTTGTTCTGAATAACTACAACATAAGCACAAACAACATATGCGTCAGTACATTAAACATTATACAACAGCTTCATCCCACCAGTGAGTGTACTCACGGACAATTCCACCATAAGTCCAGGAATAGCTTGGAGCTCCACTGTATGCTACTTGCTAGTTTCAGAAGCAGTCACGAAATGGAGGACAAGAACTTGCAGGTTAGAGGTTATTGCCTCTATGTAAAAATTACCACTTCCTGACAAATCCTGATATAACTAGGCATAATAACTCTAACCAATAGATGGCAGCAACATCACATAACATTACAGTATATTACATACATTATTTTCAACAATATGGGCAGAACAGTGTGAGTGAGGGGTGGGGGAGGGGGGTGCTTTTTTGGCTAAGTCATACAATGTGCCAATAAATTTTGGCATGGGGTTACCCTTCACATCCATGCCCAATTTTATTTTGGGCGCTGCATAGGTACATTTGTTTTATTGTTGCTTTACGTCTGTGCATGCTAATGGACTCTGATTTGTGGGGCCTGTATTCCTGAATTGATGCACCTAGCCACATAGCCAAGGTCTAATGCAGGTGGAAAGCGTAGGTGTGTGCTAATCAGGTGCAATCACTTTCACATGCCAAATGAATGACAATGGTGGGCGTGGACTTCTTGGGCAAGTGGATTTGTTTGGCATGCTCCAAATCCCACACTACAGTCAGGTCCATAAATATTGGGACATCGACACAATTCTAACATTTTTGGCTCTATACACCACCACAATGGATTTGAAATGAAACAAACAAGATGTGCTTTAACTGCAGACTGTCAGCTTTAATTTGAGGGTATTTACATCCAAATCAAGTGAACGGTGTAGGAATTACAACAGTTTGCATATGTGCCTCCCACTTGTTAAGGGACCAAACGTAATGGGACAATTGGCTTCTCAGCTTTCCATGACCAGGTATGCGTTATTCCCTCATTATCCCAATTGCAATGAGTAGATAAAAGGTCCAGAGTTCATTTCAAGTGTGCTATTTGCATTTGGAATCTGTTGCTGTCAACTCTCAAGATGAGATCCAAAGAGCTGTCACTATCAGTGAAGCAAGCCATCATTAGGCTGAAAAAACAAAACAAACCCATCAGAGAGATAGCAAAAACATTAGGCGTGGCCAAAACAACTGTTTGGAACATTCTTAAAAAGAGAAGGAACGCACCGGTGAGCTCAACAACACCAAAAGACCCGGAAGACCATGGAAAACAACTGTGGTGGATGACCGAAGAAATCTTTCCCTGGTGAAGAAAACACCCTTCACTACAGTTGGCCAGATCAAGAACACTCTCCAGGAGTTAGGTGTATGTGTGTCAAAGTCAACAATCAAGAGAAGACTTCACCAGAGTGAATACAGAGGGTTCACCACAAGATGTAAACCATTGGTGAGCCTCAAAAACAGGAAGGCCAGATTAGAGTTTGCCAAACGACATCTAAAAAAGCCTTCACAGTTCTGGAACAACATCCTATGGACAGATGAGACCAAGATCAACTTGTACCAGAGTGATGGGAAGAGAAGAGTATGGAGAAGGAAAGGAACTGCTCATGATTCTAAGCATACCACCTCATCAGTGAAGCATGGTGGTGGTAGTGTCATGGCGTGGGCATGTATGGCTGTCAATGGAAGTGGTTCTCTTGTATTTATTGATGATGTGACTGCTGACAAAAGCAGGATGAATTCTGAAGTGTTTCGGGCAATATTATCTGCTCATATTCAGCCAAATGCTTCAGAACTCGTTGGACGCCGCTTCACAGTGCAGATGGACAATGACCCAAAGCATACTGCAAAAGCAACCAAAGAGTTTTTTAAGGGAAAGAAGTGGAATGTTATGCAATGGCCAAGTCAATCACCTGACCTGAATCCGATTGAGCATGCATTTCACTTGCTGAAGACAAAACTGAAGGGAAAATGCCCCAAGAACAAGCAGGAACTGAAGACAGTTGCAGTAGAGGCCTGGCAGAGCATCACCAGGGATGAAACCCAGCGTCTGGTGATGTCTATGCATTCTAGACTTCGGGCTGTAATTGACTGCAAAGGATTTGCAACCAAGTATTAAAAAGTGAAAGTTTGATTTATGATTATTATTCTGTCCCATTACTTTTGGTCACTTAACAAGTGGGAGGCACATATGCAAACTGTTGTAATTCCTACACCGTTCACCTGATTTGGTTGTAAATGCCCTCAAATTAAAGCTGACAGTCTGCAGTTAAGCACATCTTATTCATTTCATTTCAATTCCATTGTGGTGGTGTATAGAGCCAAAAATGTTAGAATTGTGTCGATGTCCCAATATTTATGGACCTGACTGTATGTTATATAAAGGACTGCAGTAGTCAGGTTGGCTTGGACTGATATTAGGCCAGTTTTTTTGCAGCCAGTCCTTGCCTGTGGTGGTTTGGCGGGTGGAGGAAGAGATATTGTGCATAATTGACCAAGGCCCAACTAAGGCTGTGGATTGCTGTTGGCTATGAATGTTTTGAATTTTGTCCCTCTAAAGTGTGTTTAGGCGTGATCATTGTTTTATGCTTTGTGAGCATTTGCTGATGCTTGTCTTCTTTATTTAGACAAATGTCAATTGCTCTGCTCTTACAACACCTAATTTGGATATAATTTGCCTGATTATTTAGACATAATTGCAGCTTTCTGCCAAACATAATCAGAAATATATGTGTGCGGGACTTGGGGAGGTGTTTGATATTATTTTGGCACTTTTATGCTGTATTTTATGGTTATTTTCATCTTGGGAATGATAGGTTTTCTTTAATCCTACATGTAACAAACTGATGGTGTGTGCTAAGTTTATGGCCCACAAAATGAAGCCTGATTTATATTACCCATTTGCTGCTGTACCCTGTTAGTTATTCAGCATATGGTGTCATGTTTTAGATTGTAAGCTCTTATGAGCAGGACCATTCTAACTTAGCATCATAAATCCTGCTGTCCTTTTTTTTTTCACACAAGTAATTGAATGTACCTAATTGTTGCTGCTGTCAAAATAAATGTTGACTATGTCTTGCATCAATAAATGTTTGAACTATGTATTGCTTAATGTTTTTGGATTATTGAATGTTCTATTTGAATGTATTCCCACCCATACCACTTTTTATAACCTAATAGTGTGCACAAATATACCTTTTTATAGTGCACATATGCAAAGTTTCCGTAACTCCCCCCCCCCCCAAAAAAAAACCCAAAAACCCCTAGAGCAGCATAATGTTGAATGTTATGTACCAATGAATGCAAGAGGTGGATAGGTAATATTCACCATGTCAACCTAGCCATTATTTTGCTACAATCCTATCAATGATAATTTGGAAAACAAAAGTGTTTTTTCCATTTTGAACTGGAACACAAAATATTTATTCACATATGTCATATGTCAAAAGGCCACAGACCAGCGAAAACACGTCATCGCGTTTGCAGAAGAACGTTTGCATGCACCCAGAAGTGCTAGTGATGAGAGCAGGCAAGATGGCGCGGTCACTCTTTTCCAGAGAAGAGCTGATCCTCAGATGCAAATATGGATGATGTGTGGGGGTGATGTGATAGGTTGATAGCGCATGTGTGCATACAATTGTATGGAATGTTGGCTGAATAGCAGCACTTCATTTTAGCGCATGAGCATACACATGTTACTTACATTAGTTATGTGTTATTGGTGATCTTAAGTATTCCACATCCCCGCACCTGGCCCTTGAAACATTGCATACATGTGTCTATAATAGACACATGCATTTTCTTCACATTTGCCAGGGCCTCAGGTAAATTTCTTAATCCTTACTAACACTTCAGTGGTTTATGATCATGCAACTGCTGTGACATCCAATAACAGCAGTCACATGACTTTAAATCCTGCCTCCCAGTATCAGAAACCCCTTAACCACTTGCCTACTGGGAACTTTTACCCCATACCTGCCCAGGTCAATGTTCATCTTTTCATTGCAGATGTTCTTTGACATTTGCCATTTATCGGCACGAGTTTCCTCACACTGTGACAGCGTGACGAAGTGCTGCCGATAACCAGCAACTGCATTTACTTTGTGATCTGCTGTGTCATTGGATACAACTGTTCACACAATTAACCACCTTCTGCCCACCATATAGTACAATGACGGGCGCAAGGTGGTTCTCTCGTTCTGATAGGACGTCATATGACGTCCTTCCATTCTCACCGCGCATGCGCGGCTCAGGGAGCGCGCAGCTCGGCGTTTGCTGGTGCACTGTATCCCTCAGACACAGCGGATCACGGATCACAGAAAGAGCCAAAGATATTGGCTCGGTCATGTGATCAGCTGTGTCCAATCACAGCTGATCACATGTAAACACGGAAATGCCGGTTATTGGCATTTCTCTCCTCTCGAGCTGTCACGCTGACAGCTCGAGAGGAGAGCCGGTAATCGGCTTTCCGCGGAGAGGACATGTACAATGATCATCAGGGCACTGATGATCAGTGTGCCCTGATAATCAGTGTGGCCCCAGAAGTGCCACCTGTCAGTTCCCATCAGTGCCAGCAGTCAGTGCTCATCAGTGCCACGTGCCAGTGCCCATCAGTGCCACATCAATGCCACATAGTGCATACCAGTGCACATCAATGCCACATATCAGTGCCCATCTGAGCTGCCTTTCAATGTCACCCATCAGTGCCAGTCAGTGCCACCTATCAATGCCAATCAGTGCCACCTATCAGTGCTGCCAATCAGTGCCACCTATCAGTGCCAGTCAGTGTTGCCTATCAGTGCGCATCAGTGCTAGTCAGTGCCGCCTATCAGTGCCATATATCAGTGTCATGTATCAGTGCTGCCTTGCAGTGCCCATCAGTGATGCCTGTCAATGCCCATCAGTGCAACCTACCAGTGCCTCCTCATCAATGCCTATTAGTGTCCATCAGTGCAGCCTCATTAGCGCACATCAGTGAAGGAGAAAAATCAGTTATTTACAAAATTGTATAACAAAAACTAAGAAAAAACGATTTTTGTTCAAAATTTTCAGTGGTTTTTGGTTTGTTTAAGAAAAAATAAAAATCCCAGAGGTGATTAAATACCACCAAAAAATGATAAAAATTTCATATGGGTACAGTGTTGCATGACCGTGCAATTGTCATTCAAAGTGTGACAGCGCTGAAAGCTGGAAATTGGCCTGGGCAGGAAGGGGGAATAAGTGCCCTGTAGGCAAGTGTTTGCCCTTTTGCCCTTTTTTCCCTTTTCCCGCTGGGTGCGCCTTCTGAGAGGATGCCCTCCCTGAACTGGACAACAGCACTGTAGCCTTCATTAAGTGCGTGTGGACAGTGGTTAAAGGGCCAGGAGGTGGCAAGGGTAGACATGTTTTGAAATTGTACATGCTCATGTAAATACAGTGTTGATGTAATCCGTGTCTATATCATCATTTTTGTTAAGTGCACCACAAGCTGATGGTGCAATCCAAATCCAGTATAATACGAGAAAAAAAAATCTCTCTTTTCAATAATGGTGGAACCCTCTAATGTATGTTCCTTGTACCAAAGTGCCATATTTACCAAATAGTCTCTACAATATTGAATCCCCTCCTGTGGCTATTTGCAAGCCAAATAAAATACCAGTCATATAAGCAAGCGATATGTGTTTGCACATGTAATAGACCTCTAAAGAATGATAATATTATGTAAAAAAATATAACTTAGCAGGGATGGTAGGAAACCCCTCCTTTAGATATTGGTACTAACAATTACCTGCTGGTGCAATTATTCATATTGTAAGAATACCCTAAAAAAAAAAAACTTCAAAAAGTGCAACATTCTTAAATAAAGAGATACAGCCATAGTGCAATAGTGGTTGTAAGCTTAAAATTACTTGGGGATTTGGGGAGAGAGTGAGCCAAACATGACAACCTGTCATTAACAAGTTCAACATATTAAAACTCCAAGCAAGAAAATTCATCCTACTTAGCCCACTTACTCCACCTCAACAACTCAAGTCGTAAGTGATTACATGTTTTCAAGTGTCTCTCTGATTCTTAAATCTGGCAATATGCTTGCACCCAGGCATGCTGTATAGCTATGTCCCCAGATTTTTAGGCTCGCTAAAATATGAGTTGTGGAAATTTAGTTTAATTCCGGAAAAATTAAGGTCATACAGGGCCTCACAGTCTGAGAACGTTACTATTAATGGATTTGGAGACAGATATCCACAGGATAAGACCCTTGAAAGGGGTAAGTGCTTTTTTTAACTTTGAATAGGCCACAGTTTAAGGTGAAAGGATTCACTGCCTGGTGGTGGCTCACAAGGTTATTTTTACAAACTGGGGCTTGCTGTGGACACATAGGCCCTGATTTACTAAGACTTGAGTCTACCAGCAGACTCTGAACATTCAGGCAGACTCAGTTAAATCAATCAAGACCTGTCAGTCTTCTGAGAGGTGTCTAGCAATCTCATTGACGAACGTCTACTTTGCTATTAGTAAATGTGGAATCGCATCTGGCACATTTTTAGGTGCAATACCGGATATGTTCGCTAGATGGCGCACAAGCGCAGGCTTTGTAGTTTGGCGTTTTT